ATGATTATCGAAAAATAAATAAATCAAGTTAAACACAGAGTTTTTAACATTAAACTAAGTCAATAAGTTGATTTCAACTTCCAGAGAAGTTCAATTCACGTAAAATGGTTTATAAACTTGTCAATTTAATTCGAACATTTTCAAATCAGTTTGAGAATCATTGTCAATTTGGCCTCTAATGTAATAGAAGCACACCAGAACAACTGATGACCAAGTAGTCTAGTAGATGCCAAAGTAACACGAGAGTAAATTGCTTCTGCCTTTTCGTATTGTCAAGAATCAAATTAGCTGGTGAAGAAATGTTTAGTAACTAATTAAATAGATGCTTTTACCTATTAATGCTCTCTGGGATGTATCAAATTTCTTCTGACATATGGTAATAGAAAATTCAGTGTATATGTGGGTTTGAGCTTTCTAAGTGAAGATTTTTTTAGGTGATTTGTTATGATTTTGGAAAGGTAACACCATCATGTGTGGTTTTGATTGCGTGGTTTCTCAGGAGAGGATAAAAATCCCAGATGAGAAGATGGTGTATTACGAGAATCTTGCTGAGATGTACGTGGGTGATGATGTTTCTCCAGATTTCTACGGGTGGGTGTTTCCAAAATGTGACCATGTGGCTGTTGGCACGGGCACTGTGACACACAAGGGTGACATCAAGAAGTTCCAACTAGCAACAAGGAAAAGAGCAGAGGACAAGATTCTGGGAGGCAAGATCATCCGGGTGGAGGCTCACCCTATCCCGGAACACCCTCGGCCGCGGCGGTTGTTGGGGAGAGTGGCGCTGGTGGGCGACGCAGCCGGCTATGTGACCAAATGCTCCGGAGAGGGGATCTACTTTGCAGCCAAGAGTGGGAGGATGTGTGCAGAGGCAATTGTGGAAGGCTCAGAGAATGGGAAAAGGATGGTGGAAGAAGGGGACTTGAGGAAGTACTTGGAGAAGTGGGACAAGACTTATTGGCCTACTTACAAGGTCTTGGATGTGCTTCAGAAGGTGTTTTATAGGTCCAACCCTGCCAGGGAAGCGTTTGTGGAGATGTGTGCTGATGATTATGTGCAGAAGATGACCTTTGATAGCTATTTGTACAAGACAGTTGTACCTGGCAACCCATTGGAGGATCTCAAATTGGCCATTAACACCATCGGGAGCTTAGTCAGGGCCAATGCCATAAGGAGGGAGATGAACAAACTCAATGTATGACAATACTCATTATCTGCCTCACTCTTAATATATTTATACTTCATTTTGCATTTTGTATTTTCCAGTGGACATGATCACCTTATAGTCAAGTAATAGCTATATCTGTGTAAGCAAAAGGATTGAATTTTCATGCAATCCCATACTGGTATTTGCACCTATTATCTACAATGTAACAATGGGATTGAAATCACCTTGAAATCACATGTCTTATAAATCCTATCACTTCCTATCTCAATTATAAGAGCCACAGAGTTTTTAGGCGGTGAGTGCACGATCTCCGAAGCTTCCTCCGGAAGAACGGTGACAGCCAAGTTTCTGTGGTGATTGAAATCCTCTTACACGAATTGAGGGACGATGAGGTGCTCGATGCTTGTGCAATGGTTGATTGAAATGCAAAAGTATACTTATGAGACACCCTTGCCATTGGTTTTATCGGTTAGAATTTGGTTCTTTCTCAAGTTGTGCTGTTAATGACTTACGTAGTGACTTAAGCTCTTCCAAATTGAAAATATACGTGTTAAATATGTTGCTATATACCTGTCAATTAACTTTCCAGTTCCCACCCATTTATATGTATGGATAACTCAATGGAAAATAGAAGGATTTAAAGAACCAATGCAGCGTGGATCAACAATTCAACACCAATTGGCTGATCCTGATTTTACAGAGGGTTGTGATTATCAAGCAATGTGAGGGAATTTGATTCCTCCACATTTCCATTTAAAAAAAAAGGATTGCAAGAAACTGATGGAAGGAAATTGATTTGAGGTTAAATTTAATGATATCCATGTCAATGATGTAATGAATGTTACAACTGCATGCGCTCAAAGTCTGCTTTATGAATTTTATATAATCAAGAATGGGTTTATACGAAAAAAAAAGAGTAGCCTTTACCTCTTGGTTGTATTCAAGGGTCGAAGTTGAAACGCTAGTACGTAATATTTCGAATATTTGGTACCATTAACCATGCAATGCAATTTTTTATTTTTTATTTTTATAAAGATGGTTGTACGATTGTCATTTTGTTTTCCCCCTAAACTAACTGTGTGTTTGGTTCCGCGTTAACAGCATCTGAATCGCGTAAAAAACGTGAAAATCAGAAGCAAATATTACTTGTTTCTCATCAAATTGACGTAATTTTGTTCGAAAACATAATTCAATACGCAAATCCAAAGACACTCTAAAGATGACTTCTTTCTTTGCAGTTTTCTGTCCCCATCGACTGTTATTTGTGTTTCGGTGGTATTGTTTTGCAATGCAATTATAATAACTAATATAGTAAAATTTCAAACGGACAAGGTAGGAAGATGAAGTTGGATTGCAGCTTCAGAGATGATCAGGCATGTGGTTTGTTTACCTATTTTTGTTTTATTTTTTCAAAAAATTTCTTCCTATTACTTTTCATTTAGTTTGATAATTTCTATTATTTTTATTTATTTTGAAATACTGTGTACTAACTATACCACAAAAGTCAAGACAATGTTAAGTAAAGGATGCGAAATGCAAGGGTAAGATTTAACGCGGCTGCATACACAAGGCAGAATTCGAACCGCTGACTTTGCTTAAGCGTGGATCAATTCTTACCGCTGAACCACACGCTTGGAGTTATTTTTTTTATTTTTTTATTTTCATCTCTTTACTAACCCATTTATTTTTATCTTTCTTTATTTATTATTATATCAATTATTACATTTATATATTTTTTCTTTTATTTCTTATTTTTTTTTAAAAATAATTCCACTTTAGCATTACTGAACATGTTGAAAGACATTTTTCCTATTTCTTTATTCATGAGAACCAAAATTGGTTTATTAAAGAGTTTTATAACAAATCATGCACTTCAATCAAATGACTTAAGATATCTTAATATACTTACCTTTGTATACAACAACCAATAACTTAGAAATATTATTAAAGTAACACAATCAAAGGCTTCTTTAAAATAACTCTATACTATTAAGGAGTCTAGTTTAATTGATTAATTGAAATGAATAAATTATTGTAAACTCATATCAAATTCAATTGTGGCGACTATATTATTTATCATTTATTTCAAATTATTATTTTAAATATATTTTGTATAAATCTTGAGAAAATAGATAGCAAAAATATCAAAAAATTATTTAAATTGTAATATACATTAATGTTTTTTTTAATTATTTCCTATATCAACTGTGCATTATATATATATATATATATATATATATAACGTAAAGATCGGAA